CACAGCAATATATATATATATAAATTACTATATCAAATGAAGCATATGAAACACAATTGAGAAAAAATTGTATTCGCAAACTATTTGTATTTTTTAGTAGAAATATTTTTACCCAAGTCTGTCTGAAAAACCGCAAAATGTTTCATTTTCTTTCTGTTTCTGATTCGAGATTTGATTTTTCATGACTTTCTCAAACTTTTCTTATTTTGTACCGATTCGTGATGTCGACTCCTTTCTATCTAATGATTCTTCTCTATTTCGTATTCAGATGCCAGCTTCGCAAACAATTGGTCAAACAGAGGATTCGATTTCCGAGGATCATGGCCGTCAGGGTTGTTAATAGCGCCAGTCGTCGGGGACAGCGAGCAGAATCCATTTTATATTCGTCAGTCCTACATTAGAAATACTTGCAGCAGCGATAAAGGGGTCAACGAAGTTTGCCGAAAGTTCCTGAGAAATGGAACCGTTTTGGTGTACTTCGACGACGGCAAGGTTATTGTTCTTCGTCCAAACGGAGACATTGTGACTTGTCTGTCCTTCGAACAGCTTCCGCCTAAGGAACCTGAGAAGACCGACGATGACGCAAGCTCCGGGAAAGGTATATATATAATTCATTCAATTTGTAATCGATTCTAGACCACAATTCTTTCGGCTTGATCCTCTTTTTATATTCTATTAATTAGAATATCAACTACTGAGGTTACATTTTTCCTTGGAAACTGCAATTTGCGTATAGTATCTTCTGAAATTTTTTTCATTATGCTGTAGATCCCACATGGGTTATTATTGATGTGTATACTAACAATACATTTTATATTATTTAAACATGGAGTCGTAATGTTGGAAACATATTCTATTTGTTTCGGAAACGAATTGCAAATGAATGTTGGTGTGTTATAAAATCCGTATACTAATCCTTGGATTGCAGATTTTATGCATTAATGACAAAAGTGATTAGATAGAATACAAAACAATTAATGTAGAGAATAAATTTAACAAGAGATTGCTTCTGTTAAAAATCTTAAGAATGAAATGTTTATAGAAATTTCTAGAGATCTTTTATCTTGCACAAAGATCCGTAGTTTACTATTCATTTCTAAAGCTCTCAGACTGCGCAGTTTAGTTTGAATTTAAAAAATACTAAATTCCTTATAAACATTATAAATCAGATCTGGGTAGATTGAAAATGACATGTTATTTCATGTTAGAATTATTTTCATGTCTACGATCACTTTCGAAATAGTATCATTTCGAATATTAATTTAAATGACATTATTCTATTTAATAATTGTTTTAAAGAATTATTTGAGTCTGCTTTACACCGACATCTTCGCTGATACTTATGCAAGATAAATGGACCGATCTGACTATGTTAAATGATTATCCGACAATAAGAAACACTTTTCCGAAGAATAATGCTCGCTTTCATTTTCCGCACTAGTGGAACGATTATCTTTCTCGTGAGAATATTAGATGGTTCAGGACAAAAATCTTTTAAGCAAAATCTCAAATCAAATTGCTGCAAAGGTGTTTGAAAATAGAATCTATTCGCTGCATATTATTTCTTATTATATTGTCAAGGTTCCTTAAAACAAGATTTTTGATACATGTCATTTTGTGGCTTAAGTCATACTTGAAATAAATAGATAACGAAATAATTCTTTATTCGAAATTGCGATTATTTCAAATACACTTAACAGCAATGCTAAAGCATCACTAATTTCTAGCCGAAAAATTGTCGATATTTGAACAGCTGTAACTGCGTTAGAAGTTATCATTACATTACGACTTTCTTTTTTAAATTAATGCTTGAAATCTCTACTTTACGATGCTGTAGTTTAATTTTTAATGTGATGCATCTCCATGACTGTAGTATCCTAAATCTGAGAGCATATTCGTGATACTGAAAAAGTGCAGAGTTTAACACGCTTTATGGTCTTGGAAAAATTTGTTTCGATCATGCTGTTCGCAACATCGTGAAAAGGGCTTTCCCCTTTAAATCGAGGGTCTCGTTAAGTCGCTATAATGTCTTTTAATGCAGGTTCAATGTAAGTTAAAACTTTGCTCCGTTTCGGTATCACGAAATGTAGGACACTACAGTTATGGAGATGCATAGTATTAACCCTTAGCACTCCGCATCATTCTGGACGTTGGCTACCAGCTACTCGGCGCCACTTTTCGGCAGAAACGGGCATTTACAGGACCCTCGTATTATTTAGTATGCTTTTGGAACTAACTAACATATTATAATGATATTGGACTTATATGAATTTGGCTGAAACCGAGAAATTTGCAAAAAAATCGATATTTTATTTTTTATAATTTTGTCATTGTTTGTTTTATAATTTTGTTTCGTTGTTGTAATCGCTATCTATGCGAACTCTTTCTCTCGTCGCCTTGTTGCTTGGACGATATCACTATCGCTGCTATCAAAACGATGGACTAACTGTAGAAGAAAACCTTCTACATACCTGTAGTAACATTTCTGTGTAACATTTCTAACGTATCTGTATAAACGTCTATCTGGAGCTCATCTTCGCTACTACTTGTGTCA